GCTCCCTTTAAAGAAATTAAACTGCACAAAATTCAAGCCAAAGAAATTATGTTATTGGTATGCCCAAACACTTGCCTATGTACATGTACATGTATGAGGATCTAGAGAAACAGAGAAGTACAAACCATCTTTTATCATAATAAAGCCTCCCATCGTCAATTTTGGCTTCGGCTATAATGGCTTCTATGGGTGATGGATGCGGGGTGACCTTCTTACTGACAGGTTTCCCACTAACTTTGTTGATGATTCGTAAATCGTCTAAAATGTCTCCCTCATCCAGATACAGATTTAGTTGTGGTAAGATAGTCAAGGTTTAAAGGTTATTCTAGACAATTTCTCTGCATTGCTACTTTTAGTCTATAATTTTAATGCGTAAAAGAAGATGCTCACAAATGTGAAAGGTTCATATAAACCTCTGGCAAAATCATTAACTACTTTAAAATTTTTTTTTTTACATCACATATATATGTATTTTCCATAAGCTAAATCAATTATTGAAATAAAAAAGCATCAATCTCAATGGTTAACAACTACTATTTTTCTTCAAATGCAGGATTAGGTTTATTTTTCCTTTTGCATATACTACTTTTTCCCCCTTCTAAACATGTCTTCACAATATCTATTAAAAATCTTCAATTTCCTGGTTTCAAATATAAAAAAAATTTCATGTTCATGTATCTTAGTACAAGTAAAAGGATATCAGGTGTCTGTTTCCGTCTTTTCTCTGGGAGGGGCATCGGGTCATTGGGTCTTCTGCGTAGCTTTCTTGTAGTCACAGGTTTAATTTCCATGGAGTCGGAGAGAAGAAATCCTGAGGAAAAGATACAGGGCATCCTCTTAATTCAATTACAGAGAAAGACCTAAACTTACATAAAACTTCCTTGGCATTATGCTACACTAAAAAAGGTTTAACAGCAGTGTAATCAATTCAAAAGCTGTGCTATTCTAACTTAACACTGCAAAACTGATGCATCATATATTCTTTCATATATGATCTTAGACTAGCAATTTTTTTTTCCAAAAACCAAAAGTCAACTATTCCAAAAAAAAAAAAAAACTTCATGGACGTGACAAGTCATAGAAAGACAACTCTGATGCAAAACTTACAGTATCCTAATATGTAAATGTATGCTAATTTATGAATACTGTAAGGTATGCTAATTTATAAATATTGTAAGTTGGTGCGCGGGGGGGGGGGGGGGGGGGGGGGCATATCTAAAAGATGTCCATTCTGTGACTTGTTTTATCTTGAGTTGTAGTACTGATGATTTATTGTATCTTTGATTTTTTCCTATGACTTGTCACAGACCCTGTAAAAATGTAAAATACCTCCTGTTAGGTCCATGGAGTTTCTCTCATTTTCTATATTCTTCTTTTTCTCTTCAAACTCCAGAATGAGATTCTCTTTAAGCTCTATTTTCTTTTCCTAAATGATGAAAAAAAAATAATTTGTAACTCTCATTACAATGAATTTTTGAGACTCAGATAAAAAATGTCATTGTTTCACTTTAATACGCCAGAGCCAAAATTTTTATTAAAGTTAATTAAGGGAGAAATCACCAAGTCACTGATAATTAGTTTATCAATTTTATGTATAGTCTTCCATGTTTCAAATTCTACAAAAGCAAACAACAAGTGAACAGGCAAACACTTTATAATTTCTTCATCCCCTCTTTCCCAGTAAAACATTTTTTTTATACAAATCAAGTCAGTGACAATGCATGCTGCATATTGTAAAATCAGCCAAAATCCATGATCCACTCTACACTACATACATTGTACATGTACCTTTCCAGATTTAATATTACCTCAAAGTCTTTGACAGATGCTTTCTTTTCCTTTATATACTCTCTTTCTACTACATCAAGCTGAAACACAAAAGGATTTTGAAGTTCAAGCACATTCACATATTTTTATCTGCAGTTTACAGTGCATCTCACTCTGCAAAATTTAAGATAAGTATGTTCTCAAAACTTTTCTGCAATTTAAACTAAATTCCATTTTCATGAAAACAACATGAAGACAGGTTAACACTGTAATAAATCAAATATACTGTGATCTTGCACAAACTTAAAAAACGTCTAAAAATTGTTGATTAGTATAAGTAATTAGCAAATAACAACTAAGCTAAAATATGCACTTTAAAAATCACCTCAAATTCTCTCCAGATTTCATTGATGCGAATCCGTTCCTTATAATTCTGATCTATTTTTTTCCTCTTCTTTATGTATTCAGGTAAAGTGCCTTCTTCTAACTGCTGCAGTTGTTTTTTCAAGTGTGCCAGTTTGTCTTGATACATTCTGTTTATAATTCAATGAAGAAATCAGATTTATATACTTTATTTTCCAGATTTAGATATTTTTGTTATGAGATTCATTACCATAAATATAAAGCTGCTCCTTGAACTATTCAAAATATTAATAGATGTACTTCAGTTGTTCCAGTTCAGAATTAACTCTCAGTACTCACTGTTCTTTGATTTCTGTGTATTCCGTTTCTCGCTTAACCATGTCTGTTTCACTGGCATCCTCTGTATCTAAAACAACAGTTTTAAAATAAAACTCAGCATCAATAAGCATTATATACATCTGTGTACTGATTCAATACAGTTTTTGTTCTTTTTTATCCCACAATTTCAACTGCTATATTAAATTTCAAACTAAATGCATAATGTTTAAATATGTTAATACTTTTGTAAGGATTTGCACAATGTATTAAATTGATACTATTAAAACCAAAACTAACCAAATGATTAGATTATGGTCATATCAGTAGAAAATATACAAAATGATAACTAGACCTTAATATAATGAGGCTTTTGACCTGTTGAGACTTAATTGAGAGTAAAATCCTTTTCTATGCTGGATGATCTGAAATCTCCAGCAAATTCATGCATTATAAATGTATTGTTGTAACTAAATATAATGTATGCATTTAAAATTTTATCATATGAATATCGGACGAATGTGACACTCTGCCAAAAATGCCTTGTACGGAAAACTATAAATACCTTCATACTATGATTGTCCTTCATACGAAATCAACATATTAATTAATAAAGCCTAATTAATGATTTAAAATAAACTTTTATTAATAAATCAAAACAGAATTATGATGACTCATCATTTTTGTTTCTTTTTGAAATGTTACCCAGAGACAGACATCAAACTGTGTCAATATTTTCCGATGGTTATTGAGACTGCTAGCTAGGATCTTCCTTTGATTTTTTTTAAAGTAAAGATACATTTAGTAAATACAGCAAATTTATGCTAAAAATCATTAAAATAATAGGAAGTTGTTACAGTCATGCCATATTCATTCAAGTCTTGAGAGACTTAAAATCTTAGTTATAACCACATGCACAAAGCTAAAAGTATTAAAGAACAGTGTATGCAAAGTGAAAGTAGACCCCAGAGGGAGTTTCTACTGTATTCTTATCAAATTCACTAAATTTATGATAAATCTTGACAGTTTTATGTTAATTCCAGCTTCCACTGGTATAGCAATAATCAATTGGCATCTTCTTTTACTTTGGAAAAAATAATTGCCAACGATCATAAATCATATTAGGGAAATTTAATAGATTATACTGAGTCATCATTTACTTACTGAAGGAAGCCATTGCTACAATGATATCATTACAAGAAAGATAACTCTAATTTAAATAATGAACAATACATTGTCAATTTAAAAATCATCCGATCATCCTCTTTTACCTACAAATACAAGTTAACATGTATAACACTTACATTAGAATTTGTATAACATATTGCAAAGAAGAAAACTTAAAAGAATCCAAAAGAATCCAAAATGACAATCATATTTATAGCACCAATTACAACTATTCATGTTTGAAAAGCTTCAAAACTACACATAGACTAGGAAATATCATTCACATTACTGAGAATGAAACAAGGGAAATAATATTCTTCATAAAAGTTTATCTGTTGGTTTAATCATAAGAACAGTCTTCATGATATGGAATTTAATGTTATTTAATATTAAAAATAAAACATATTTGTAAATTTAGGACTTTAGTGCCTAGCAATGCTATAATAAACAAAACCCAATCTAATGGTTTCATTAAATAATTATTGTGTCTTATCTATGACTTGAAAGATTCCCTCCCCTCCTTTCCATGCTTTTCAAACCCAGACAGAGGAAACTCGAACCCAAAACAATAATCCAAAATGAAACAGATGTTTTGCTCCATTGGATTTTGCAATAAAAAAGGAGCTTTTTAACGTATACTTAAATAAATATCTTACACAAATACCGAATCAAAAAGAAAAACGTTCGTTAAAAAAAAAAATAGATGGTAAACAAGCTATAAACCATAATGCTGCTTCATGCTTGGCGCCAAAGCGTAAACGCAGGGATTGTGAAGACAGAAAACCCTGTTTTGCATTTTTCCTCACCTTCATCGGTAAAATTTTCATCAAAATCTCGATCATCATCCAAGTCTAGGCTATCGACATCATCGTAATCCGTATCATTAATGTATCGAGGAGAAGATGTGTAACTTGACGCCATATTTGTTTTCATCGGATGTGCATTGAAGCGGTGCCTAGTCAATTCGTTGCAGCAAAGACAAAGGCATGTTGGGACATAAACAAAAAGTGTTTAAAAAATATTCATACTAAGGACAAAACAAAATGATTTCAATTATATAATTCATAAGTATCTCAAGATATGGTCGTTTCAATTTTCTATATCACATTTTGTAAGATTTCTTTACATTTTTATTTTTAAAAAGAAAAAATTTACATGTAACGTTACTTGATAATGATCTAGGCGAGGGTTTAAGAATGCATTGTTAACAAATCTGTATTTGCTAGATTGTACATATATATATATAATCATCATGATGTAAAAGTATGTTTATTTTAATAATATAATTCATAAAAACAACATTATTGCATGATCAATCGAGTTTCTATTGTACAACTTAATATTTTTCTTTTCTGAGTACGCATGCGTAATATACGTGTTTTGGTATCTTATTTTTCCCGAATTAACTCTATTTCTTTCTACTTTTCCTGACATTGCAGAAGACGAACTCAAAATGGCACACACATTTCAACAAGAATACATGGAAATGCCACCTATCACTAGAGCTTATACAACAGCATGTGTGTTAACAACAATCGCTGTTGTAAGTTTCTACTTTTTTTTTTTCAGAAAATCTGAGAAGAAAAAAAAGTGTTTTCTTTTTATTAAATGCTTATTTGCTTTCTTTTTTATTTCAGCAACTTGACATTATTTCACCGCTTCAGATCTACTTTAACCCAGATGCAATATTTTCAAAGTATCAGGTGAACACTTTACATCTACTGCATTTTAAATATAAGGCATTGTCAGTAACTTAAAAAAAAGCTGTTATTACTTTGATTGAGATGGGTCATTTATTCACACTCTGGAGAAATTATAAACAATTGATAACTGTTATTGATGACATATAGATAACAAAATTTTAAAACCAGACCACCCTGGTCCCAGGTTAAGCCAAATTAGATGCCTAAACTATGTGTAATTTTCCCCCTAATTTATTTGAATAAAGTGTTTGTGTTAATAGCAGCTTTAATGGACCTTGTATGATTGTAATTCAGGATCTCACTGTCTTTTGTTTTCAGATATGGCGCCTTGTCACAAACTTCATGTATTTTGGTCCGATTGGTTTTAACTTCCTATTCAACATTATATTTGCATACCGCTACTGTCGAATGCTTGAGGAGGGGTCATTTCGGAACAAAACAGCTGATTTTTTTTTCATGATTTTGTTTGGATGTACATTAATGATTGTATCCTTGCTTATACATTTCTTTTTGTCAAATACTTTGGTTATATACACATATATCAAGTGTGGTCCCATCTGTCATACTGTACTGATTCCGGGATTTTAAGGTACGACCATGCAGGGTTCTAAATTAGTCACTGATGACATCATGTGACATCAGTTGTGTATAAATACCGAGACTCTGCAGTCATCTGTAGTTGTTCTTCGGATGCAGCCAAGGTTAGTAGACGAGTGTAGTGAATATAGTATTCACATTTAATATTCCTCGCCTGTTTTACAGTTAGAGAGAGAATTTGGAAGGCCAAACCAGTTAAGGCCTGCCACAAACAAGGTTGACCTCCAGTATGGAGGCTAGCCATAGTTTGTTTGATCTTGTCTGCATTGGCTGACCAGTCTGTCCAGGCTGCTATACTCATTGTCTGTCCTGAATAAGGCATCCTACAGTGAGTGTAGTGGTTGAAGGACTATCACATATACTGTCCGTCCTGAATAAGGCATCCTACAGTATATGCGATAGTCTGAGGGCGACTGGGCTTTTGTTGTAGTATTAGGTTAGGACTACCAGATAATTTGTTACTTGCCTCTGATTGTTATTGATTTACCATTTGATTATTGTTTACCTAGATAAGGTTAGGACATATTTGTATATTTGGCAGTCCCCTGAAATCATACCAATCAGTTTTTAATCAGTTAATGTTGAACACCCCAAACCCTGGAATTGACCAGGTATGACCCCTGTGTTTTTATGTAAATGTACAGGGTTATTTTCACTATGTTATTTTCACCCTATCACAATTAGAAAAAGCTTTGTCTCAAAATATGTCAAGACACAATGAAAATGTCATGTTAAAAGAGAGATAACTATTATGACTGTGTCACTGCTGAATTCACCCCACTTTGAATGTGCCCACTAATGACAAGGGCAAAAGGTGTGAAAATAAAATGGAGACAAAAATTTCCTTGTTTGCATTTACTATCTTGAATCTTTAGATATCTTGCAGATTTGTCTCTCCTGCTGAATTTAAGCTAATGAGGGTTTGACAAGGAAAAAAAATACTCTTCTGAAACTTTAAGTGATTAAAACATGAATTTAAATTAATTTCAAATTCTTATAAAAATATTCATGAAGCTTTAATGCAAATGATGTGAATTTATCCTTAACAATTTTCAGGTATTAGGTTTTTTTGTAAACATAGTATTTTTAGGTAGTGCCTTTACCATCATGTTAGTCTATTTGTGGAGTCGTCGTAATCCCTATGTCAGAATGAATTTCTTTGGGTTGATGACATTCCATGCACCATATCTGCCATGGGTTTTGCTTGGTTTCTCGGTTTTGCTGGGAAATTCTGTCATGGTTGATTTGATGGGTAAGATTTGTGTCAGTACTTAAAATTAAATAAAAATTGTTTTTGTAAATAAAATATTTTTCTTTAATTGTAAGACTAAGGAGTCCTAAAATTTGCTGTATCAAAACAGTGCAACTCACTTATAATGATACAAAATGTGTCTGTTTAATATAGTAGCTCATTTATTATAATAGATTTTTAGGTCACTCAGGTGACCTATTGCTATCTGTTTCTGTCTTCTTGCATTGTTTGTAAACTGTTGTACATTTTCAGCTTCTTCTCATAAACTGTTTGACCAATTTCAACCAATTTTGGTATAGAGCATTTATGAGGAAAAGGAACCAAGAACATTTATGAGGAAAAAGAACCAAAAATTGTGAATTTCATGCTCCCTGCTCCCCTGAGGCTTGAGGGGTGGGTCAAAAACCTTCAAAATCAATGCAGTTTTCAATAATCTTCTTAACTCCTGGGCATCAAGGTGTCAAACTGTTGGCATGATTGTAAAAAGTAATGAGTTCTTTATCAAAATAGTGAATTACATGGCCCCAGGGTCAGGGGTTCTGGAGTTAAGGGTGGGGCTCTAAAACTTGATCATATAGTGAAAATGCATTTTTTTTGAAAAGCTTCCTCTCTCACTCTGTATATAAAGCAGACAGACTAAGTGCATAGTTGTGATGAGCAAGGGTGATTCTTCTAAAATTTTGATATTCATGGCCCCTAGATCAGGGGTTCTGGTGTTAGGAAGAAAAGCTTCCTCTCTCACTCTGTATATAAAGCAGACAGACTAAGTGCATAGTTGTGATGAGCAAGGGTGATTCTTCTAAAATTTTGAAATTCATGGCCCCTAGATCAGGGGTTCTGGTGTTAGGATAGGCTCTGTTGATTATATAGTAAAAATGGTATTTCTTTGAAATTCTTTTTGTCTGCTTCTGGGTTTTAAGCATACATACTAAGTGTATGATTAAGACGAACAAGGATGCCTCTTTAAAAATTGTGAATTTCATGGGCCTTGGGTCAGGGGTTCAGATGTAATGGCCGGGCTCTTTTGATGATACAGTGAAAATGCATTAATTATTTGAAAATCTTCTTCTTTGCCCCTGGATACTTAGCAAATATATTAAGTGCATGGTTATGATGACTATGTGTGTCTTCATCAAAATAGTGAAATTCATTGCCCCTGGGTCAGGGGTTTTGGTGTTAGGTAGGGACTTTCTTAAATTATACAGTGAAAATGCATTAATTCTTTGAAAATCTTCTCTGCCTCTGGGTATATATCAGAAAAACTAATTGCATTTTTATGATGAGCAAGGATGCCTCCTCCAAAATTATGAATTTCACGGCCTCTGGATCAGGGCTTCATGTGTAAAACTGAGTATTTAGCAAACACACATTAAATGCACGATCTCTTCCAGACCTATATATCATGGCCGTAGGAACCGGGGGGGGGGGGGGGGGGGGGGGGGGGGGTGTTAAGTGCATGGTTATGATGAGTATGGATGCCTACTTCAGAATAGTGAAATTCATGGCCCCTGGTTTTGGTGTTAGGGATGGACTGTATTGATTATATAGTGAAAATGCATTAATGCTTTGAAATTTAGGAGACAAACGGAGTACAAAGTTGTACTGAGCAAGATTTTTACCAGATTTGTGAAATTATGGATCACTGGATCAAGTGTTCAGGTGCTGGGCAGGGCTCTATTGATCATGTAGGGAAATTTGTACTTTACAAAGAAAAGCTATTCCCCTTTTCTATTCACCTATGATAATTTAATTAATCACTGTAAATAATTTAATTGATAGGTCAGTGGAATAAAAGAATTATACAAGAATTTTTAATGTATAATACAAAAATACTTTCATAGTTTTTTAAAGGCCAGGTAGACTTCTAAGTAAATTATAAATAAAAATGAGGCAAAAATATGTTATCTTTATACAATAAATGTTCTCCAAAGACCATGAAAGCTTAAGGTCAGAATTTACTGTATCTGTGTTGAAGCTCTACTGTATTCAGTCTGAATTGTGAAACTGGCAAGTGGGAGTATATTACCACTGGCTTATACAGGCAAGTAACTAGATCTACCAGTTACTTTATGATTGTTACTGAATATTAGACTGTTTTGCTGATCCCCAATCATCCTATTTCTCTAGCTTTGGGGCAACATATATTCATCTACATATCAGTTTATTTCACTTTATTTAAAATTTAATGGATCCTTTACAGTGTTGTATTATACTCATGTGACCATTAAGGCCCTTAGGCCTCTTGGTGAAACATAAAATCCTGTATGACATATCACAGAGGTTAATTTTTATAAACTTGTTCTTGAATCAGGATAGTACATGTATTTCAGAAATTTTTGCCTTGTTCTCTCTTCTCTCCTTTTACCCCCATTCTTTAGAGGTCAATTTAAAATGGGCTAATAAATATATCAACTTGAAATAACAAAAAATAGCGAACGGATTTTGTCTGAAATTTATAAATGGAGCAAAAGTTTTGAATCCCTTTGAGTTTATATAAGAAGGTACAAAATTTTCCAATTCCCTGTAAATGAAACATAATTTAAAAAGGATTCTGTAAGTACTACAGTTTATAATTGCTGAGATCAAAGAAATGCTGCGGACATTTTTCTCCATTATATAATGTCCTTGACTTTTTGGGGAATTATCTTGTTACTACGTGCAGTGTAGGAATTGCCAATTTTTGCTTTAATATCTCATATTTTTTTTAAAATATGATTTTAAGTATATAGAACATGTAATATATTCTTAAATTTGTAACTTACAGGAATTGCTGTGGGTCATATCTATTACTTTTTGGAAGATGTCTTTCCACAGCAACCAGGAGGATTTAAAATTCTTAGAACTCCATGGTTTTTGTAAGTATGAATCTTGATAGTGTTGACCAAGAAAGTATTTTATAACTGGACAAAAATCATATGGAAGCAATGGTAAAACTCATTTTCATACTATTTAGTGCTATAGTGTGTGTGTTTAAATTCCAATACTAAAAGTGGAACTTATAATCTTCTGTGATTGTTGTCATGGCCACAGGTAAACAAATCAAAAATCTGGTCATTATGAGTATAGCACATTCAGTTTGAATTTTCTCTGGCTCCATTCAAACTTGAATGCATTATATTGCCATATGTTTCCAGAAGTAGGGAGATCATAAAAAAAATTTCTATATATATTTTGGGGAAGTTTAGTCTTAAACTTAGTAATTTTCCATTGCCATATGATGTTGACTAGATAAATTTCATTAAAAATAAATAACTTTTTACTTCAGTAATATTAGAATAACTAAACGGCAAAAAAAAAAAACAAAAAAAAAAAAAACAAAACAAAAAAAAAAAAAAATACATAATATTTATTTGATGTATTCTGAGTCTCCACTACCAGTCATTTGGTTGTTTGTAATATTTGTAGGACCTACCTCCTAGATGGTCCCCCTGAAGATCCCAACTACAACCCACTCCCAGAGGATCGACCCGGGGGATTTAACTGGGGTGAGGCACAAAGACCACCCCAACAAGATGGTGAAAATTGACACCAAAATTTATCTAGTCTTAACATTTTACCCAAATAAAATTTGTAAAAAGAGTTGGAAAATTGGGATATGAGACTTATTTCATGAGAGAGGGAAAGATGCAAAAGCTTGAGAAAGGATCATGTGTGCAAATGCCAACATGTTTGTCTGTACATGTGCAATATGTGCACTTGAGCTGACGCTTTAACTTTTATTCTGTGATAGATCTGTTCTTATTGATACAATACCTGATTTTTGTCCATGATTTAACACATGTAACACACAGTTTTCCCCTCATCATTTCAGCTTTTTGTCTATTCATGTACGTATAATTTCATTCATCCTTAACTTTCAGTGGGTTGTCTACAAGGTTTTTGTATATTGTCATGATTTTTTTTTTCAGTAAAATTTTAGTGTCAAGTTTGGTAAACTCCTTGATGATTTAGTTTCATACATGTAGAGATCCATGTATGATTATTTGAAATACATGTACATACATGTATTTAATTATATTTTCTGTACAGGAATGTTTCTTTTTAATAAATACCATGTATGTTAATTGATATGAGGAAAAACATTGAATTTTGATGAGTAGTCATTGTTTTAATACATCAAGACATTCTGTACATTAAAGTATGTACATAATATGTTAAGTTGGATTAATAAATCTAGCTATTTTAAGAACTGTACTTGTATATTATTAAAGAGTTATTAGTCACCAGTAAAATGGAAGGGGGTATACGTTTTATCATCCTCTGCTTGCCTACCTGTCTTTACTCTCTTCAGAAGTTTATTTTATCAACTTTGTGATACTGTAAAAACACTTTCTTTCGTGGGGTCAAAATCTCATGGTTTGAGGAAAAATATTGCTTGTTGGGTATTGATTTCTTGGTTGAAGAAAAGACATCATACTGTATTTTGAAATTTTATCATTTCATGGAGGGCATGAATTCATGGGTCATCTGGGTCTCTTCATACCATGAAAATAATGAAATTTAAACCCATGAAAATTAGTGATTTCACGGCATTTGATTGAGGTTTAGTACTTTCTTTTGTACATGTGTATAGAAATTGGAAGATGATTGCAAGTTTAATGGAATTTCAACTTTATCAGGTTGAGATATGTTCATTTACGAAAAAATAATCAATAAAAATTCTATTTACCGGTACCAAGATAAAAAAAAAATGTAAATGATGACCAGGTTCCACATTTAGCTCTTCTGAGCCTACGAACAGCAGAGTAATGGGCTAATCGCGGCTTTGCTTTTCATTAAAAAAAATTTTTCCCTTTGTATTCCCATGTAAAAATTTGATCCCCTGTTATAGCCCCACCCAACCCCTGGGGCAAAAAACGTAAACAAACTTTAATCAACACTATGTAAGAAAGCTTTTACAGAAGTTTCATGTTTTCTTGCATTGTCATTCTGGACATTTTAAACTGACCCCACCTTATTTTTACCCTTTCTTCATAATTTCATATTGGAAGGGGGTTTGGCTCTTCATATGTACAAACTTGAATCCCCTTCCCCAAGGATATTACCGGTATGCCAAGTTTAGTTGAAATTGGCTTATTGATTCTAGAGAAGATGAAAATTTTAATCAATAAATTCACTTTTGAGGCTTTGGCTCACAGGGTTCTCCATGAGCTGTTTTATGTCTGCCCAGACACAGTAATGATTCAAATTTTTTGCGTGTGACACAGTAAAAATTGTGCGACACAGTAAGATCCATAATAATTAGAAAATCAGAACATAAATTCTCTCTTACTGAAACTTTAATCAAACAAATCTACTGTCTTTCAATTTTTAAGGCAGAGCACTTCATTATCTCTTAATTAGGGCGCATTGTCTTGCTTTACCTTGCATTATCAATCATCTCCTAGACCCTATATGGACTTTAGGCATGAAGGAACAAAGGCAAATATGTAAGACTTCCATGTAACTGTATCATTGCTAGTTGCATTTTTAAATAACATGTATATATTGAAGACTGCTAATTGGAAGTTTTCACCTAAGTCTTGTCCTTTCTAGCCAAGTGATTCTTGAACCCCATCATTTTTCTTCCTAATTTTCATCCTTGACATGGACTTGGCCCTTCATTTGAACAAATTTGAATCAATGTTTTGTTGACATTAGGTGACTGGTTTCTTGAAAACGAAGTCAAAAATGTGAAAAGTTAACAGAAGGTGGACAGACAGACTACAGACAAATGTTGATCAGAGAAAAATCTGACAAAGCTCACCTGAGCCACCTTCACCCTGTTTTTCTTGATCTGATGTTTTTCCTCTGAATTTCTATTTAAAAGTTGGCTGTTGCCCTCTTTTATGTTCTCATACAATCCCTTGGAACTACATGTGTATGATGTGAACAAACTTAAATTTGCACTATCTGAAGATGCTCTCATACTAGCATGACTAATCAAGGCAGTGTAGTTCTTAAGCAAACAGATTTTTTCCTATATATTTCTAGACAAAATTGTAATCCCCTTTTGTGACCCTACTTTGCCCCCATGGTCTGATTCTCCACTTCTAGTGAATGCTTGCATATTCTATGACCAATCATTAGAGAATTAACATTTTTCTTGTATATATCCATGTAAAGTTTGTATCTCCTATTGTAGCCCAACACAGCCTATCCCCAGAGCCATAATTTTAACGAACTTTAATATGCACTACATGAGGATGGCTGCATAATTATGGACTTAATACTGCCCCATGGTTCTTGATGAGATTTTCAAGGTTTTTTTCTCCCTACATGTATGTATTCATTGCATAACTTTCATCACTTAATTAAGATTCAGTCTATGATTACCATCAACTTCATTTACTTTCCGGTTTTTATTTCGATTAGTCAGATGCTTGATGTGCCAAAAAATTTTTTGCCATGCACAAAATTAATATTGGTATCATCTGTATAACAGACTGGCAAGATTTTGTGCTGGCTATAAATACCTTCAGAAAGTAGGGAATATGTAAATGAATTATGTATTCATATTTTTGTTAGGAATTTAGCTCACCTCAACAAAGTTGGGGGAGCTTATGTAACTATTGGCATTGGTGTCCCACGTTAAATTTCTTTTCAAGTACTTTTATGCCCTATATTAATCAGAGGTGCATGGAGGATGCTTCTAGTGTGTTTCATTGCACCAGTCAAGGTTTCAGATGCTGCAATTTCAACTAAAGAATGACCAGGTTAATATTTTTGGAGCAGGTCTCATTTCCAAGTAACTATAAGCCCTATGTTGACCAAACTTGCATGGATGATACACCTAAGGATGCACACTACCAGACTTGCTTGGGATACTGGATATGACCTACATTGTCCGGATGAGTGACCAAGTTAAAGTTTTTGGAGCAGATCTCATTTCCAAGTAGTTGTAAGCCCTATGTTGACAACTTGAAGGATGATACATCTAAGGATGCACACTACTGGTCTTGCCTCAGTTGCTTGAACTGACCTACATTTTACGGATGAGTGACCAGGTTAAAGTGTTTGGAGCAGATCTCATTTCCAAGTAAATGCAAGTCCTCTGTTGACCAAACTTGCATGGATGCTGGATCTGACCTACATTTTCCGGATGAGTGGCCAGGTGTTTTGGGAGCAGGTCCATTGCCAAGAAACTATAAGGCCTATCTGAACCAAACTTGCCTGCATGATGTATCAAGGGACAAACACTCTCAAATTTGCTTCAGATGCTGGATTTGACTTACATTTTCTGGATGAGTGACTAGTTTAAAGTTTTTAGATAAGTCCATTCCAAAGTAACTGCAAGCCCTATCAGACCAAAATTGCATAAATGTTGCATCTAGGGATGCACACTACTAGATTATTAGTGTGGGACTTGGCCTTACTTGAAGACAACATTCGTTGAGGTGAGTTCTGTAATCTCTGATTTACCTATGTTTTTTATATTATGTTTGTAGAACAACAGAGACCTCTTGCTTCAGGTTGCACAAACATGTCCATCTTCACACATTTTCTAGATAAATTATTCGAGCATAATTTGTGGAATGACACATCTAAAACAACTTTTGTTCAGATTTTTTTTTTATTTGAGAACATTGCATATGACTGATCATGTGGCTACAACATAGGGTTCATGATCAGATGATCCGGTGCATACAGACATTTAAATCAGGTCTGGGGATAGTACCGAGTGTGTCGCTGAGCATCATGGGAAAAAACTGGATATTTTTACCTTTTCACTGGAAAACTATATTTTTGCAGAGTATAATGCTATTACATTGCACATGTTTACATTGAAAAACAGTTTTGATATTGTGTGATGACAAATTTATATTGCATTAAACTACAGAGCAATTAAGTCTACAAAAGAAAAAGAGAATTCGCTCACACATTCATTTGTGATTGTATAAATGCCACAGATACACTGTTGACTGAGTGGAAAACTAGCATTGCAGCCTAATCACAGCTTAGTAACAAATACACCAAGTGATATGTGACTTTACACATCCATATTTTAATAAATTAAAAGTCAATTACTTCTTGGTAATTAAAACCCACAATAATTAGAACTCAGGCAAGTCAAAAAAAAATTGCTTACAACGTCCAGAAATGAAACTCCTCTCTATGTCATGCAAATTCATGTTCAAGTTCTCTGAAATTCAAATAGTTCTCCTTTATATCCATGTACATATTATTGCAAAGGGAATTTTCAGAATACTGAAGTTTACATTGCTCACTTAGCAATGACTGGAAAAAAACCCACTCTTATAAGCAAACCAACTTTTCCATAAGGACCTTAATTAAATACAGAATTATTATTATAAGCTAACATGAAGAACATACGAATATTTCTTAAAGAAACAGTTTTTTGCATTAAAATATATATATATCAATCCTTTTTAAAGGGAACTCAAAGGCAAAATGTTCACTTTCATAACATTTCTTCTCCCAGCCTTCTTCTTTCTATGAACAACACTGGTCTCCCATCTTCTATTAATAACTTTTCACATTATTAATCATATGGACGTTTTTCTGCATGTTTCTTTGTGAACTCCTCTGCATTTTTCATAAATTTGGCATTGTTTTTTGTGAACTCCTCTGCAACATCTGCCCTGAGTGGGTGTTCAGGCTCAGGATTGTGAACTAAGTCTATTAATGATTGTATAACTAGAAAGAAAAAGAAAAACACTGTATCTGTAAAAAGTTCAAAGCAATAACAACTTTTATTATTAACAATACCATAATTGTAATTTCCATATGTGCTTCATTGAATGAACATATATATTCTAGTGGAATGAACCACCATTATATACATACCATTGGTACTTTGATATAATACATAATAATTACCCTGATCTGTTTTAGTTGCTGGCTTCCAATTCTCGGGACTTATAATTGGTAAACAAACTTGTCCTTTTTCATCAATGTTTGGGTGATAAATCTTTGTCTTAAATGTTACTTTGGGTGGTTTAAATGGATACTCTGCAGGGAATACTATTTCTATCCTAAATGCTCCTTTATTATATGGAGGCTGTTCCTGAAATTGATTTAAACAACCACCAATTAATGCAATGTGTTTTTTCCCTTATGGATTTTTTTGAAGTGTACCTGTTTTTTTTTTTTTTTAATTTTCTTTTTTTTATTATTAGGCCAAAATAAAAAATACCTTTGTTTCTCCTAACGCGACCGACCCAATTAAAACGTGCCGACTGCATGGAAAGTTTTTCTTATAAGATTATTCCATATTTTTTTTTTATGTTTATCAATTTTTATAAAATAGAATTTCATCAAAATCCGCTTTTATCAGAACGGCTGATTTTGTTTTGTGATTTTCAAGCATTTGTTGGAATCAAAATGGCACCAACAACATGTCTCGGTCACGGATGGTTAGTACATGTTTCAAAAGAAAGACAACGTATCAACCTTATGCCTTTAGCATATAGGAACCCTACACTCTTGAAACACGTTGTTAATAAAATAAAATACACAATGACCTATTAAGTGTGTTTCGATTGTATTTACCATCTGTCTTAAAATTAAGTACATATGTACGTAGGGAGCATGCTTAGGCCTGTAGGCCCTCCTCATGATACTCCTCATGAGCAGACAAGGGGCCTTCTTGTGAACAAACCAATCAATTTCACTGCATTTTATTTAATTTGAGTTTTGATCTTATAAACAGTTCATCATTCAATATTTCTATGTTTAATACATATATATGGGACCATAAGAGTTGTAAATTAGTCTGCATATTTCATCCTAACGAATAGAATTCAAACGTCCTTTCTTCATGCTTTTTATTCATGGGTTAAACTTTGTGACTTTGACATTGTGTATGGCATTTATCATTTTTAGATATGGGTTGTCTCAATTAAATATGGCCACTATACTTTTTCCATTTTTTTTTTATTCATTATTATCTTTTTTTTTTTTTTTTTAGATTTGAAATTATGATACAATGCTTCCTGAGACGTCCGTGTATTTTTCTTTAATAAGCCCCTTGAATTCAAGATTGGTTGTTTCTTTGATTTATATTCCTTTGATAATTATTGGGACAACAACATTTATTTAAACATTTGACTGGTGAAGGGCTCCAAATTTAGATTTGTATGCGGCATTTTAGGCAATGAGCAATGAGGGATCTTTTTCATGCTAGTATCTACTGCGACATTGGACCTAAGTTTTTATGGTCTCTTTCGAAGATTCGGTCTCAACGTCCCGCATTGGGATTTTAACCTGCAACTTAGAAAACATCTCCTTACTTCGAGACTCCAAAACGAAATGCTCTAGAACCACTGCACGGTTCGAAGCCCTTGAAAAAGTACATTGCATGTGTAAGCACTGGAAGCTGATAGTAAGTAAACTATGGAAAAATACTCGGATGTCCGGTCTTTGCATACCCGAAAATCTTTTAAACAGATTTATTCAATTTCAACAAATTTACTCTGGTATGAGATATTTTACAAGTTTGATTGAAAAATAGTTGCAAATTAATATACCTTAAATAGTCTAAACGTCATTTGTATTGTATTCTAGCTGTTTACAAATGTCTTTCTTCTGTACTTAACTTATTTATAAGGGTATTATTCCATTTAATTTTAAGAATGTATTTTCAAAGCTGCTGTCAAAAAAAAAATTATTTGCCTACCTACCTACCCAACTTGAGATTTTTGGGTCGGGTTAGGGGAAACAAAGATATTTTTAATGATGGCCTTATTATTATTTTTTTTGAGTCACCTGAGTCAGTCTGGTGACTTATTGCTGTTTTTCTCCACTCTGCCTATCATCCAATGTGTGTTATACACAAACTTTATAAAAATTCAACTACTCACTTACCTCAAAATATACCCGAGAGATGAAGATTTAAATTTATTCAGTCAAAAGGATAAGCCCTTTTCAAGGGGAGATAATTAATATAAAGAGATCTAATAAATGTTCTCATGAAGAACCATTCAATAAAAAAGTAATCAAGATTAATGCAAACGTTGCATAAAAATTTCATTGTATGATTCACTTTGCCCCAGCTTAGGGCCTGAACATTGCATCCAGATTTTCAAAGATCTTCACTTTCTTGAACAACAAAGTCTACATATTGTTAGTATGAAAACATCAACACTAAAAAAAAATTTCAAATCATGATGGCTCTTGTGGCTATATAGGGCAAATTCAGGCCTCTAAATTTTTACCATGTGACATGACTCGATCAATACAAAAATATTTGTTACTTTCAAATAAGTTTCTGTATGATATGCAGGTGACTGATCATTATAAGGCTGGCTTCATGGCCTTTGTGTTATAGAATATATTCTAAAAATTACTCACTGGTACTAAAAGACCTTGCCAATACAAGATGTTTGACTCATCCACAGTTATATTTCTGAAATATTTTACATCACTCTTCCTCAAGTCCCCAAGTTCCTGAAAAGAACAAAACAAAACAAATACATTTTTATGATTTTCTTTTTGTTTTCAAACCATTTTTTTCCCCAGAGGCTTTTACCATGTTTATTGTGACACTTGTACACAGTAAATAATTTTCTTGCCTCAGCAAAATATTTATTGCCAGTCAAATTTCACTGTGCTACAATCAAATTCACTAAGCCTTCTGAATATTGGTTTGGATACCATTAAGGATAAAATGGTATGATACCATATCAGTATTTTTGAAATGATACTTTTTAACAATACCTAGATCTATTGATCAATTCTATATGATATGTAACAACTGTTGTTTCAATATGTATGTAATCATTACTTAGCACCTTACAATAGGCATTGTAAAATTTAATCTTGTGGTTATTTATTTTCAGAAGTATTCGATTTTGTTCAAATAACTTGACTGCATTGAGATAGATGAAAGAAAGCAGCATTAAATACCAAAATTTGAAGTATTATTAAATGAAACTGTATTTTAACAGTAATTTTTAAACAAGTACTCTTGGTATGGTATGAACACCAAATGTCCAACCCTTAGATACTCATGAAGATTTGCCACTGTTACATTGGTCTGCTTGGAAGACGGGGGTAATTATTCATGAAAAAAAAAAAACAAACAAACACTTTGTATACCCTAATACAAAATTGTATTTGCTTTTGTCAGTCATTAGACTCATTACCACAAAATGTTTTTGATCTCTAAAATTGCTGTTTGTGTGCTATGTGGCTCAGTAAAATTTTAAATGATGGAGAACACAGTTATCTTCATTCAAAGAATGAGGAAGTAAACAGAAGGAAACAGGACATCTTGATCAAAATCCTGAGATTTCACTAGCTTCTCTTGATTTACTTCACTTGTTTATATTGGTTACACTGCATTTAATTCTTATTCAACATTATTAACTAAATTCTAATGGACATAGGATTTAACGAGTTCAGGAGTTGAATATTGATATAATAAATAAATAGTACAAATGCAAAATAATAAACAAGCCAATCCAACTCCTGCCCAGAATGACAAATGACATTCATGGCAGAAAAGAAATTCAATTCAAAATTAATAAAGCAAAGTTGCACACACATATATAAACAGATCTCATTTTTACTTATGTCTCTTATTTTTCATCTTAGAACTTCAACAATTTAGACTTTTCAACATGTTCTAATTACATATATAAATGGATTACTTTCCTGGATCCAGTTTATAGAATACCAAACAAGAACTAAATGAATCCATCAGTAACCAACACGTATTTACATTACCTGTCAATCTAATAAGTTTTTCCTGCCCTTAAAATTCTTAATACGTATACCTAAGCAGTAGACACTCCGAAGTCTGAACCAAAATTTCTAACATCTGTTTTACAAGATACATATGGGTAAAAGCCACATTTGCATGAAAGATCAATGCTGCATCTTTAATTTTTTTTTCTTTTTTTTTTTAATTCATATTTAGTCAGTTTACTTTAGAGTAAAACTAAAAATATCAAAATAAAAAGGACACTCCAGCAATGAGACATCCCAATAGTACTATTAATTTTAAAATAATGGAACATTCTGCTATCCATTTCTAACCATCGTATTCTTTCTTCTTTTTTGGGTGAATATAATGAACAATAACAAGCATAATTATTCAACTTGTTCAATGCATCCTAGAAAATAGAAAGGAAGAAAGAACGTCTCTTTAGGGACCTGGCGTACATATAATGTGATATAAAAAAGCAGATTTAAAGCAGTAATCTAAAGAGACATACTCAATATCCCAATAAATAGATTTATTCAATTCTTCGAATAAACATTGCACCATCGTTTCACAATTCTCATAAAGCAAAATTATTCACCGTTGTACTCGCAGAAGACACGCCTTAAAATGATATCTACTTCATTTCGGTTCTTAAGTATACTAGAACTAGGAATAGGCACACGAAAATTTAATTTAAATTGAAATAAATTTGAGGCGAAAATGAAGTAATGCCGAGAAAACGACATTCCTATATTTACCTTCGTTAGCCGCTTGGTCGCTGCCATCTTGAATAAGTCACGTGACGTATATTTCTACGATTGCTAAGGGAGATAAGCATCAAACTGCCCGCGTCATGGATCAATACCGCGTTAATATTAAAATCGCCTGATCGCAGTAGGTAAAAAAAAAAATCGCTATTTCATGCAACAAATTACTGATTAAATAAGAAAAAGATAACAAATGTTTTGTTAATCATAAAAAAGTATATATATATATATTGCACGTATGGTCTATCGAAGCAGAGACATTTTATATTTTATATGTATCTGATCGAAGTCATTTCACCCAAGTAAAACGGAAGAAGTCACCGTTAGGCCTCTATTTTAGGTCGCCATTGAAGAGTTGACATTTTGTGATTTTTATACTTATGTTAAATTATTCCTTGGACACTTCAATTAATTTAGAAGAGAAATGAAAATTAAAAAAAAAAATACTGTAAACATGTAATAGAAACGAAAGCAAGTATTTCAGTCGAGCACCCCTTTCGGGAATCAGTGTAATAATAAATAATTATACACTCGATCTAAAGTATAACTATATAATTTAAAATATACCTTAAATAAAAAATAAGATGAAACAAATATCATAGCTAAAAATATTGATTCTGAGTCCTGAATCAGAAATTATAGGCAGGAAGTTTCTACTATAATTATGCGACGGTCGACTGGGGATTGAAAACGTTTTTTTCCCTGTGAAAACCATGTTCTTCCCAGAACTCCTCTTATTTTATGCAGTAGCTAAATTATCTTTTTCGAATACAGTATGGAAATTGTTTGTTGATGTCCTTTAGATATGCAACAAGGTTTTGGAATTTTTATTTTCACCAATAGGGACCAACTGGGGTTCGAGAACCGACTTGTTTTCTTCGAAAACCATGTCCCCAGAATTCCTCTTACATTTTATGCAGTAATCAAATCATCTTTAGGAATATGATTGGTGGTGTCCTGTAGATGTGCAATAAGGTTTTAGAATTTTTTAGTCCCCTACCGGTGATACCGGAGGGGACTATAGGTTTCCTCTGAGTCTGTCCGTCCGTCTGTCTAGCTGTCCGTCCGTCTGTCCCTCTGTCTGTCTGTCAGTCTGTCCCACTTGGTTTTCCGCATTTTTTTCTAAACGCGCGCAGATACTGAGCTGATTTTTGGTATGTGAGTGTATCTGGATGAGTTACAGATCAAGTTTGCATTTCGTTCCGCTTCAATGATTTTTGACGGAATTACGACCTTTTCAATTTTTCAGGGTTTTCCGCAATTGTTTTCTAAACGCCTGCGAATATTGAGCTGATTTTTGGCATGTGACTTAACCTTGATGAGTTATAGATCAAGTTCGCATTTCGTCCCGCTTCATTGATTTTTGACGGAATTATGGCATTTTCAATTTTTAGCGGGAACCAGATTACACTTGCCGGTAGGGGACTAGTATTGCTAATGCAATACTCTCGGAATGCTTGTTATTTTTATCATAGGGTCCATGCAATTATGATTATGTATTTTAAAAAAATCAAAAACCTTTTTTTCACGTAGTAGCCAAATCATGCAGATGATTTTTTTTTTTAAATATTAGTGTTCTGTATTTTCGGGATTTTCACTTTCATCTAGCAGGCCATGATGGTGCAAACATTTTAAAACGCCTCTTTTTTGCAAAAAAGTATAAATATTCTTTTCAAATCTTCCTTTAAAATAGAATTTCTGCTTCATTAAATTTTCTATAATATCCGACTAGTAATGAATTTATTCGTAGAGGCTCATATGGTCTCCATGGTCACCTGATCCTTTTATACTCAATTTGATAAATTTAAGGAATGAATTTAATAGCTACCCAAGTTATACTGTATAACTTGGGCTGGGACAGTTTATGACTTATAAACCGCGAAGCCAATCCAGTATAACTTGGATAGCTATTAAATTCATTCCTTATAATTTAAGTGTAGAAAATCAGAGAATTTCTCCTGCAAAAATGGCTTCAAATTGTATATAGTTTAAAAAATGTAACGTCAAGCGGATTGATACGTTTTTGGCATAAGCCATTATGACTTTGGCAACACAGGTTATGCGATATAAACTATTTTTTTATCCAATCAAATGGCGCGTTTCAACCAAAATTAAATTATATACATTTATAGAAATTCTTCGCCAGTTACTCAGTGTACATACTAGATTTCCTTTAAAAAAGACAAAAATATTTTCAAAGAGGTGGTATTTTCAATACATGACAAACTTTAACCCGGCACTGGGATGTGAACGCTGGACCCAGAAGGCATGGATTTCACAATTTGTAATGATTTTTGATATTTGACCAGTTAATCCCCATATAGACCAAAACATTGGACCCAAGGGCCATGGATTTCATAATTTTAGTAAAAGGTTGAGTAGTCAGTATGAAAATGTAAACAGTTTGCTCGCTGGTTGCCAATGATTAATGTGCATGGAAGATTTTGAAAGACAGAGTTCGCATTTATAGTATCCAATCAACTAAATTAGCCCTATCTTGAATCCTAACCTCTGAACCAAATGTTAATGAATTTCAAAATGTTGATAAAGGACTCGTTGTTTTTATACCAGCACTTTTTAAAGAAAGTTTGGGTACATTATTGTTATCCCGGTCCGCCCGTCTCTCGCAAAGTCACAATATCCTCTTCCTCAAACATCTCATACATTTTACGCAATAATCATTGCATATTGTGGAATTTGATTAGTGATGTTCTGTATATGTACATTAACTTAATGATTAAGGTTTTGGAATTTTCCATCTGGGGGCCAGTTGGGGGTCGAAAAATGACGCTTTCCCACAAAAAACCGTCTTCCAAGAGCTCCTCTTAAATTTTTCGCAGTAGCCGCATCATTGTTTGGAATATGACTGGTGTTGTCCTGTCGATGTGCAATGAGGATTTTGGAATTTTCATTTTAACCATGAGGGCCGATTGAGGGTGGACAACGTGTTCCTACAAAAAAAAAAATTCTTAGAACTCATCCGGAGGCCAACTGGGGGTCGGAAAAAAATTACATCTTTTTTAATCCACAAAACCCATGTTCCCAGAGCTCGATCCTCTCACATTTTACGCTGTCGCCAAATTATCTTTTGGAATATGATTAGTGGTATCCTGTAGATATGCTATAAATTTCAGAATTTTCATTTTCATTCCAGGAAGCCAATAACAAAGACCTAAAACATCTTCTATTCTGTTTTTTGTTATACACAAAAAGATTCTTTCCAAAACAAATTCCAGGATCCAAATAGGAACCGAACACCTAAAACACCTTTTTTATGCCCTCGTATCGAAAATTCGGGGGTATATAGTTTTTGCCCTGCCCGTCCATCTATCTGTCTGTCTGTCCGCAAAAACTTTAACATTACCCATCACTTCTGCTACGGCTTTCATATTTCACATGTGTATTCCTTGTGACGAGACCTTTCTTTGGGTACCACCATATTTGACCCTTTGACCTTGACCTTGGAGTTTGACCGAGTTATGCAAAATTTAACCGAACTTTAACCTTGGCCATAACTTTTGAACGGTTGGTGCTAGGGCTTTCATCCTTCAAATATGTAATCCTTGTGACAAGACCTTCATTGGATACCAACAACTATGACCCTTTGACCTTGGGGTTTGACCTTCTTTCGGAAAACTTTAACCTTGGACATATCTTTTGAACAGTTGGTGCTAGAGCTTTCATATTTACATGTAACATGTCTATTCCTTTTGACAAAACCTTCCTTTGTATACCAACAATTGTAATCCATTGACCTTGACTTTGGAGTTTGACTTACTTTTGAAAAACTCTAACTTTGGCTATAACTTTTGAACAAACATCCCTTTTAAACATAATTTATGCTTCTTTAAATTCCTTCATTTAAGACTGGTAATGAATCTGTTATATAAAATACTTACATAAGAAGCCCATGGACCACATGATCACTATTAGTATTTTATGGTTAATTAGATATTTATGTGAATCATAGAATAACTATTTTGGCTTCTTTGCTATTTACTCAGATGCGGATGCAGCATGTAGTATATAAATTTTATCATGAACAGGCGAACACAGGGTCTTTGATCCAAGTACATTTGAAAGAGTATGTATAGAAAATAGACAGGAAAAGAACATTCTTGCCCATATATTCAGGGGCATTAAAGATTTTATTTTACAGATTCTGTTACCCCTTATTCATATTTAAAAGATTGCAAGGAACAATAACTCTGGATAGAGATTGCCTGCCATTGAGAATTTTAGTTTTGCAAAAATGTCATTTTAACATAAGTTTTAACATAAACCGAAAAGTAAACACGCCTACCTACCCCGGGTCTATTGTTAAATCTCACAACAACAACTCGGAGATATCTCTAAAGCATGTCAAGTCAAGGCTTTGCTTTACAAATTGCCGGCCAACAAAAATCAGAAGTCTTTAGAAGGGGGGGGGGATAATTTCGCTTCTCCCCATTTTTCACTTGACCCCTCCTCCCCCTCTGCCCATTTTCATCCTTCTTTCTCCTCTATAGGTGGTGCAATTAATTCTTGTTATGTTACTTCCTAAAAATACATTGCAAGGTCCAGCAAGGCTCTACCAAGCCTCTATCTTTACTCCTCGCAAAAATATTAACGGCTGTTATGGAGAAACTCCATACGTACTCTGCTACAAGCGTATTCGAGAAGTGGTGTAAGTCAGATGTGGATTTTTAAGAATTCCAAAGAACTTTTCGAAGATTTAAAATCACTAATATTTTTCAAAAGTCAGTAACATATCAACTTTGGCTTAGATTAGGTATTTTGATATCAGAGACAACTGCTTCTTCAATAAAAATGGAACTAGGAAATTTTCATACCTTGTGATCGGTAATCTACTGGTAGCTGAAAAACACAGCAGGTATTTTACACATTCGCTAAGCTATGGTTTCGAGTTGGACGAAATTGTTCCCTACATGGAAAAATGTTCCTCTACAAATTAGTATCGTTCACACATGAGAAAGAGTTTTTTCGGTCTATTTTTTGATAAAAAAAAAACTTAAAAGGTTATTAGATAAGCAACATGCTATAACATGTGTTTTATTGGGAACCTTAATAATTTTGGCTATCTTAAGTCACATCTAGATTGTGTTTTCCATTACCACATAAATCATTGTAACAGAGGACATGTTTTTATTTTTTGTTTCGCCCGTTTTGTTTGTTTTACTTTGTTTTTACTGTTGATCAAATTTATCTGGGCCGTGAACTTTGTATAGCAAACATCCATACCTGTGATCTTTTAAATTCAAAAACTGACTGATACAATTATATAAGGCATTCTTTAAGTGACACGCTATCTGTTTAAAGTGTCCACTAAATCAATATATTCCACGAAAAAATCATTTTAATTCATACCCAAACTTTGATAACAAATCTTGCTAGCAAAGAAAACAGAGTTCTACGTCGTTTATTTTGAAGTTGTTGAAATAAAGGAAGAAGCATTCCGTTCCACATTTTAAATTTATTTTTAAATTTTACTATCTTCCAAATCGATCTCATTGACTTTGAGTAGTAGCTTTCATGCATGATAAAATCTACTACTGAAATAAAGATCATTTAGAATTTTAAAAAGCAAGACAAATATTTCAAATTTTAAATTGTCGTTGAAAATTTAAAAAACCGCCTCGGGGATAGAATTGAGTGTATATAAATTTAAAATGTAGCAATAAAGACGGTTAACTAAATTATCTTTGCAGTTATCATTAGCGGATTTGTGTCACCGCTTTATTGAAGTATCTTTAAAATTTTGTTGAGCTACAACCTTTCCTTGTTTATGAAGAACTGTGTCACACATGAAAACAATCTTCAAGCAGCGAGTTACCAGGAATTCATGCCAAAAACTAATCGGTGCTAAATTCCAAAAAGGCGGATACAGTTTCCTGCGAATGGTATGCACCTTATACATTTATCAAATTGTTTTATAAGAGGATTATCGGACGACTTTTGAAGCTTTGATTAGTCATTCCTCCTAGAGTGGTTTGATTAATATATGTCGGGTGCGTTCGAGGGCCCACAAGTATAATCACTTTTGTGATATTTTTCGTATCTACCTTTTTCATTTGGTCGAGGTGTCTTGCAAATGGAGGATTTGGAGACAATTCGGAAATTGTATAGAGATGATTCATTCACAAAATCTTCTCCGCTGTCAGGTAGGCTGACTGCATTGCTTTGAAAAATCGGGACCAGTTTGTATTCTAGGGGGCGCTGTATCAGATATTCAAAAAGCAGGGTTACATGTACCTCAAGTTTAACGAGAGCTCAATATTAGTAGTGAATATTTTAACCTAATGATAATGGGGACTACATATTTTCCACCCATGTTGAGATGATTTAAATGTCACTACTATGTAGTAGGAATCAGTTTAGGCGTACTAGATGTACACTTTATGCTGTATTCTCTTTGGAGAAGTGGTCAGGTTTTCGCCTTCATCCTTGGATAAAGAGAATATTTATACTGTAGTAAAATCCATAAATGAACGATGTATCAGCTCTGCAACAGAAAAAAATAATATGTCAAACTTATAATGTAAAAGTGTTTAAGCCAACTTCTTCATGTTACAAGTACATGTACTGAAATTCATTAATTGAATGGAATTATTTCGTAAAAATAAATGGTAAAGTATATATGGCACTTTGAAAGGGGTATGAACATGACAAATGTCAATGCTGGCATGAACTATCACATGTAGCCGTTGAATCCCTTTTACGGACTCCTGCGATGGGGCACCAGTCATGTCCTTTAAATTATAATGATTGGTCTGTTGAAAGACTGAAATGTAAGCTTGTTTTGTTTTCAAATTAGGAATGTCCCTTTCACAGGTTTGGAATGGAATTAATAAAAGAAAGAAATGAAATCTTCGTTTATGAGTTTTAAAAAGGAACCCGAAATTTGAAGAAACCTCCAAAAGAAACTTTGGTTCTGATATTGTAGCATTTTATCATGGTAAACCCGCGTATGAGAGAAAACATTGCATGGTGTCTATATTTTCAGTGTTTTATCTATATAGATGTATAGTAAGCAGATAAGTGACTGTGGTACGTGATAACTTGCCAAATGTGTTGTATAATGATTTCTGGAATTTAGTTGACAGTATGAAAAATGTCGAACTCATTGTCCAGAAATGAAAAAGTGAAATAGAGGCTTTATAGGGTTAAAAAAGCAAAACAAAACAGCCAAATGTCCATAAAAAAGGTAGACAGATTGACAACATAAAAGTACACATGCACTCAACTCGAGGGCATATGAAAACATCGAACGAGCGATTAAAGTAGCCCTCATTGCTAGCTGGAGAATACAGCTCAGATCTTGTACAAAATCTGATACCGAAAAATTAAGGCATTGGACATTTTGTTTAGTGGTGTATTTTTTGCACTCGGCAACAAGTCTAAATTGAAGACAATTACTTATAACCTAAATCTGTTCTCCAGACGATTTCTCTGTTACATAATATGTTCAATGTCGTTCAATTCTATTCGCAAATGCCAGAGACATTTTAAAAGGCACACAGAATGATTTTCATTGCAATTGAAAACAAGAAATTCAATAAAGACTCGAAATTAATTTCTTGTATATGAAACTGGAGCCACAAACAGGATTCATTTAATTTATCGATGAGTTCTTTTAATATCAAAATGTACATTTCCTTTTTGTAAAGAACTAATTACTTCAGAGCACACAAACCTGTTGTCTGCACTTTTAATGGCCTCATTGTACGTGATGACCGGCTTGTCGATTCCTCCTTCTAACTCCATTTCGGATCAATGGTGCTCGCCATCTCTCTATTTTTTACGGCATTAGAATTCATTGTTTGAGCTTTAAAAGTTTTCTTAACAATGTATTGATGTGGCAGTTCTGCATGGATCGATAGCAGACGTAGATCATTACGAATTGTTTAAATCATCCGATATATATTTGAACCTTTTCAGTAGAGGCTTGTTTAATAGAATGAGGTATTTGTCGCAATATTGTGTCAGTTTCTCTTTGAATTCTGTCAAAAATTTGAGCTTCTTATAATCTGTGCGAAGTGCACATGCGTATAGAGACAGCTTTAGTCTTCTGCAACTATTGATTGGTGATTAGAGGTATTCTGGTCTTTTTCTAGTGTTATCTTCAAGAAATCAAAATCTGTCAATGATTTGGATATACTGATACTATATTTATATCTTCTGGGTGGATTATCATATAAGAATGTTATAAGAAATTGAGTTTTAATTCACCAACAGGTAGAGTACTGCATAAAATACTTCGAGATATTTCGATAGAATGGTATGTTAACTATATGTGGTGGTTGTTAGCTACTGTTCAATATTTTGAGGCTTTCTTCTGAAAAGTCATTCTATGTTACGCACCAAAAATATGGATTTTGTCAGTGACTTTGAATGATGGTGGAGATATACCGAGCTTGAAACAAACGGTTTTACAAGTTGTCCAGTAAGGTACAAATATGTCTTTAACCTTGTAAAGTTGTGTCTCTTTAACCATAGGTATTCGATGTGTTTCAGATTCGGACGATATGACAGCACATTATGACTGGCAAGCAAGGAAAACGCTAGCTGAATGTAACCGACACATGCTAACCAACGAGATAGCCTTCGATGTCTACTTTCTGGTGGGAGAGAAACGTCAAGTTGTTGGAGCACATCGCTATGTTCTTGTTAGCCGTAGCTGTGTTTTCTACGCTATGTTAATTGGACCAATGGCAGCGAAGACAGACGAGAAAATAGCCATTCCCGACATAGAATGTGATATATTTCAACATATGCTAGAGTAAGACTTCTTGAAGAGATTTGTTATTTAGAACCTTAATTCTATAAAGATTTGTATAAAGAATACTGGCGTCTGGTTAAAAATGTTGACTTCTGTAATCATTTAAAAGGTTTCATTTAACCTTTTAATGTTTTCGATGCATTTTATCATTTCAAGGTACATATATTGCGAGGATACTAAAGTAGAGGCAAAGAACGCTATACAAATTTTGTATTCAGCCCGGAAATATGGTATAACAGGACTGGAAGAAAAATGTAGACGTGTGTTAGAACATGGATTAAATACACATAATGTATGTGATATTCTCCAAGAAGCCCACAAATTTGATGAATCGACTTTGAAAAAGAAATGCTTGGAATATATTTGGCATCAACCGAAGGAAATCTTACGTTCAGGTAGTTTCGGTAATCTACATGCATCTCTAGTCAAGGAAATAATTAAATCCGAAAAACTCGATGCTAAAGAGGAAGTGGTGTTCGATGCAGCTCTGCGGTGGTCCGAACAAGAGTGCTTAAGAAACGGTGTCATTGTATCACCGCAAAATCAGCGTCATTATTTAGGGGGGATCTTGTACTACATTCGTGTTCCTGTTTTAGAAGCAAGTTATTACCATAAAACTGTGGTTAAGTCTGATATTCTATCGGCAGAAGAGAGAAAGATCTTGCAGAATTATTTTAGTGGCACTAATACAGATGTGAAGAAATTTAGGACAGATAAAAGGTCAAAGGGCGAGAATCAAACCCTTCATTGGCGGTTCGGTCCGGTAAACTGTATGCACAATGAGACTACCGCTATTGCATTTTCATCTTCCAGAGAAGTGTTCATAGATGGGGTTGAAATAGACGGAACCGGATATGACGAGGAACACTATGACGTATTCTTGAATATTTACGACATGGACAATCAAGAAAAGGCCAAATGCAAAGATAAACTTGTGATAAATAAAAAGCAGCAATCATATCAAATTAAGTTCCCTGCACCACCAGTAGTTTCTAAAGGTTTTACGTACACAGTTATTCTCAAAATACAAGCGGAACACAGATATTATGGAGCTAGTGGGCGATCTAATTTGAATAAAACTGACTCTCAGCCAGCTTATATAAACCCTGAAGGTGAATTTACAAAACTTGTTGTAAAAAAGGACCAAGTTCCGGCAATACTTGTTCGCCCATTTTTGGATATTTCCTGATTTTTTTTTCTTTCAAAATCTCGAATTGAGAATAGTGTTAGCAAAACACGAAGTTTTCAGTCACGCAATGTTGTTCTACACAAAAAGTAAGGAAAAAGTTCATCCACTTGCAATCAGCAGCATATGTTTATTTTGAATAGAACTTTTTAAAAATCATCAATGTTTTGCACAGTATTTATACTTTTAAATATATTATATATATATACATGTACAAGGACAATGCAATATATGATTTTTATCTTTGGTATTATGGTATACATTTTTGATATATATGAAGAATGTTTATAATAAATATTATTCATTCATGCCTGCTTTGCTGTTTTACTTTTTTTAAATAACCAAATTAAGTGCAACGTTGGTTTTATTGTCGAATAACAATTAAAAACAAAAGATTTAAAGACATTTAATTCACCATTAAATTTTCAAAACCAAATGTGTATTGGAAAAGGGTTTAATTTTCTCTTAGTAACGTGTCTCAGAGTTGTTGACTATCACTTGATAGAACAGCATGCAGCCTTCTGCAGAATAAATTATGGCTGGATTTGTATATGAACCAGACGTCACAGAGGCTTTTTTGACCTGTTCAATTTGTGAAGACGATTATAAAGAACCTGTAGGATTGCCATGTCTTCACTCTTTCTGCAAAGAATGCATCAGTCGCCATATAATAGAATCCACCAAAGGACAAAAGGCGGCAAGAGGATTTAACTGTCCTAAGTGTAAGCGTCAAATCGATGCACCTGATCCACAACAAGCTCCACATTATTGGGTTGAGTTTTTCCCGGTGAATCATTTCGTGAAGAGCTTAATGGAAAATGTTCGTTTGCGGACAGAAGAAAGAAAATGCGACCCGTGCTCAAGGCGCAATGACAGTATCATTGCAATGAAGTGGTGTAAAGAATGCTCCGAAGCTTACTGCGAGCAATGTGAATCTTTTCACAAGTCGCTGAAATACTCTCAACATCACAACCTAATAAGCATGATCGATCTTCAACATCAACCAATCAAGGACACTGCCAACAGACCTCCATGTCCCGACCATGAAGGAACCGAGCTGGCTTTCTTCTGCGAGGATCATAACCAGGTCGTCTGTTCCTCTTGTGTGACGCTGGATCACAGGAAATGCCTCAACGTTACATCTTGCGAAGAAGCAGCCGATAAGCAAAGGCTCAAGACAGATGCTATTATTGATAAACTGAAGATGCAACGAGACTGGGCAAATAGGATTTCAGAAAACCGAAAACATAGTTCGAAAACCTTGGAAGATGCATCTTTTCAGCTTCGTCAACAAATAGCTGGCCTTCGTCAGCAGATGAACGATTTGTTGAAATCTAAAGAATACAAGCTGACTGAAGAGATTAAAAACATAAAGATTCAAGAGAAAAACAACTACGATTCCGACATCGATAGTTGTGATGGTATCGCTAGCACGACTGATAATGCTTTGTCCTTGCTTCAAAACACATTGAAGCATGGTTCCGACACAGATGTTCTCTTAATGGTGGACAAAGTCAAACATGAAGCTCATGTCTGCGAAAACACCCTTTCCGATATAACTCGTCAAATGAAAGACGTCTTCATGAATTTTACTCCAGATAAACAGCTCCAAGCGATTTCCACTACATTGAGAGACATTGGAAAGATAACAGTAACGTACACTCCTGTTCATATTGCTCCTCCATACAATCTGGAAAACCCAAACGAGGAACATCCCATAGAGGATGAATCTATTGCTTTTCGAAGTATTCCTTCATCACCACTATCCACTCGAAAGACCCCTCCTCCGCCTTTGTCTATGAAAAAAGCATCGCCACCGATAAGCACGCGAAAATCCCCACCAACTTTCTTCGGAAGTGGAAATAATATCCATACAGCAAGGCTATCTCCCATACCTTCCGTCAGGTCAAGAAAGTCTCCTCGATATGAAGATGTAAAACATCCCGATTCTGCGCAAACGCCACTTCCACCACTTATTCTTCCACCAAAGTCAGTTTCGCCAATCCACCGAGTAGCTCCGAAACAGGCAACAATGGATTACTTCTTCAAAGCCCGCACTATTCAAGATAGAGAAAACTGTTGCTTCACTGGTGCAGAATTTATTGGAAATAGTAGAATCATCCTAATTGACCAGGTACGTACAAGGAACATAAATGCCTATTTAGTCACTAAACTGAATATTAATTCTGGGAATGGAATTGTCTGTATGGCTCTAAAAGTAAAGTAAAGTAAACATTTGTTAACGGTTTAAATTTCAGAACCATCGCAAGATTAAGCTATTCAATAAGGAGTACAAGTGGGTTGGTGAAAAGGTGTTGTCTGCGAAACCCTACGATATTGCAATCATCAGTGGAAACGAGGTTGCCGTAAGTCTCCCACCAGACAAGAAAATTTATATTTACCAGGTTCGGGAGAACGATTGCCTCGGTATTTCTACCATTCAGACAGGTGCAAAGTGTTGGGGAATTGCATTTGCCAACAAAAAGTTTGCTGTCTGCTGCTATTCCCAACCGCCTTGCATTAAAATGATGTCTCAAGACGGAAGAGAATTAAAGATCATCTGCAAGGATCAGGAAGATCACGATCTGTTTTCCTTCCCTGACTACATAGCCATGGACAAATCAGCCAAGAACCTGTTTGTCACCGACAAATATAAAGGGTCTGTAATCGCTGTTACTACGAGTGGAGAGAAAAGATGGGAATTCCGGGATGAAGGTTTACTTAAGAGTCCCAAAGGAATTGCTGTTCTTGGAACGCGTGTTTATGTTGCAGGATGCAAGTCCCACAATGTATTACTGATGACGACAGATGGTGACGTCATCGGTAATATGATAAGTGATGGAATTTCCAATCCACACAAAATTGCGCTCCATTCCGATGGAGATCATCTCATGGTTACTCAGTACCAGTCTACATTAGTGGATGTTGAAAAGAACATGATAAAAGTGTTTACAGTGTACTGAAGAATATTTTAAACGATTTTTCGCTTTATTCATCGGTTAAGGTTCATATAACTAGTGTATTTTTATTTCTTTTATTTAAAGTTCACTATCTGTCAAAAAAGGCTATGATTCTAGTGTTAGATCGTTCTTTTTTTTTTTTCCAGAAAAATGACAGTGAATACTCTTCAAAATACATGTACAAGTACTTAGTACATTATTGGCACATCTTTTAAGTGTATATTTGGTACTTATTTGGATTAAATTATCGCACAGATTTTCTTCATCCAAGATGTTTATTTTGAAAGGGTGGGGTAAAGTCGTTTTGTCGTTTCTGCAGCAAGATCTGGTGTGGTGGACGTGAGGGTAACAGGCTAACAATATTCTCCTAAAATATTGTTTTTCCTACCTTCATTTGGATTTCCATTCGTTTTCTTTGCGTTTAATTGCATTTATATGACTTAGACTGCAATATTTAGTGCAAATTGAACGTTGTGGGAAATCTATAGAGGTACATAAAAGTGTTCCGAGGAAAATATATTTAGGTGTATAATAAGATTAATAAATGTCCAAGAAATTTCATCCACCAGCCATCTTTGATACCTGCCTCGAAACAAAAACAAAGAAAAAGACAGAGATGGGTGGGGGTTCAACACGAAAAAATTGATCGAAAGAAAAAAAATTAACTTTAGTTGTTTACGAAAAGGAGGAGGAGCGCGCCAAATCTAAGGGCGTCTAGGTCTTAACATGATTATGCAATGTGCATTGTTTCTCTTGTCTATATCTTTCCCCTGTGTGGAAGGGAAGGGGGTAAATAGTGAGGGGATGTCCGTCGCGGTCCTTCCGTACGTCCGTAACGCTTAGCGGTACCCATGCATTGTTTATCCGCAACTCTTCGTATACTACTGAATAAAATAATGCGACTTTCACAGAACGTTTATTACAAAGTGCCATTGTTTGTTTCGTTCTGACATTTTGGGGTTTAACATACCAAAACATGGACACTGCTTTTCTTTCTTTAATATCGGGGATACCCGGCTATCTCTTATCCGCAACTCCTCCTAAATACAAAGTTCTGCATAAACTGTATAATTGAGATTTTCACAGAATCTTTATTACATAGCGCCGTTGTGCACTTCCTATTTAACGTTTTGATTGAACAGATATTTGGCTTTCCCATGGCAAAACATGGACAATGCAATTCTTTCTAAAATATTGAGGGGTATCCATCTCTTATCCACATCTCCTCGTATACCACGGATAAAATATGAGACTTTCACAGAATCTTTATTCCATAGTACCATTGTGCACCTCCTATTTTTCGTTTTGATCGGTCATATGTATTGTCCGACAATCCTCAATATCGCTAAAAAAACGTTGATGCTCAGTTTTAAGATAAAATCGCTAAATTTGCCAGTCACTAAAATTACCCGTTGTATGCGGTAAATGTTATTTATGTCTCTACATCTGCAAATACAAGTTCATTATTTTTGTAACAAAAGAGTCTCCAAAATGACTTCTTCGTCATACCAGTGCTACAGACTACGAGACTGAATACTGTCTTTATCCTTCACCCCCACTTCGGCAAATTGCAATTTATTATATGAACTACAAGATCTTGCTTTTCAGAGGCTGAAAGGTTGAAGTGTTCAACAGAGTGAGCGCTCGCAAACATTTCTGTTGGCGAGATAAGGAATTTTGGCGAGCGCTCGCGAACGTTCGCTCTGTTGAACAGGCCTCATGTTACTTTTAAACACAGCTGATAATTTCATTCCAACACGAAAACAACCGGAATTATAGTGGTAGTCACGCTCCTCGTAATAATCCCATTTCCTTCAATGAAATATAAGATTCAACCATTGAGTGATAAACATTGTTTATAATAATTTTTTTCATGAAAGTTGTATATCAACAATAGACAACATCATGCATATCAACAATGAACATGACAAAATACAGTCCAAGTAAAAATTATAAAACAGTCATGCATTGTTGCAACCACTTTTGAAATAACGACCACTATTGAAATAATTATTTCAATGGTGGTTGAGAGTGCATTTCAAAATCAAACACAGGTTATAACCACTATTGAAATAATGACCACTATTGAAATAATTATTTCAATAGTTGTTGAGAGTGCTTTTCAAAATCAAACACAGGTTATAACCACTATTGAAATAATGACCACTATTGAAATAATTATTTCAATAGTGGTTGGAAGTGCATTTCAAAACCAAACACAGGTTGCAACCACTATTGAAATAACGTT